GCTCATGAAAACACACATATACGTACACGTACATGCACACACACACACACACAGACACACACACACACACACCCTGGGCAAAACAGGGCTTGGCAGTGCACGCCTGTAGTCTCAGCACTCTAAGGGGCTGAGACAGGAGGGTTGGAAGCCTGAACCCAGCCAGGACAACTCAGTGACTCAGTGAGACCCTGTTTTAGAATAAAAACAAAGAGGGGAGAGATGCAGCTCAGTGCAAAGGCCTTGGGTTCCATCCCCAGTACCAAAACCAAAAACAAAACCCCAGTTTCAGGAATGTGAAAGCATGTACTAAAGGTCATACAGATAGCCAAAGATTTCAAAAAGTCATCATGAGTATTTTTATGTCAATAGATGAGAATTTAGATGAAATGGACAATTCTTAGAAAATATAACTTATTAACACTGACACAATATTAAATAGAAAAACTAAGAATCTTAAAGAAATTGAATCCATGATTTAAAATCTGAAAATCTCAGGTCTAGATGGCTTCTCCAGTGAACTCTGTCCAGCACTGTCGGCCCAAATCCCACACCATGCTTCGCGAGGACAGCAGCGTGCCCTTGCCCTTTACAGGCTCCTGGTACCTTTGGTCCCCTTCTTCCTATGTCTTGGGGAAGTGCACATCCCTCCCCTGGGAGGAGAGGACACTAGAGAGCTGGGGAAAAAGGGCCTGGTCCCTGGAGGAAAATGACGAGAAAAGTTCACATACATGGTACTTTTAAGAGAGTGAGAAGACAAACCAGACTGAGAGAAAATATTTGGAAAATCTGTGTCTGATAAAGGACTAGCATCCAAAATACTCCGAGAGCTAAAAAAAAAGCCAAAAACCTCAACAATGAGTACATAAGCAATTGATTAAGAAATGGATTCAGTTTGGGCCAGGGGTTTAGCTCAGTGGTTTTGCCACCTGCTGCGCAAGCACAAGGACCCAATCCCTGGTGCCAAAAAAAAAAAAAAGAAAAAAAAAGAAATAGACACAAGCTCCAAACAGACTTCACCAACGAGGATGCACAGATGGCCAGTGCACGCATGGGCATCGTGTGTCATTGGGGAAAAGCTCGTTGGAACAGAGACCAGGCCTGGACCACACCAGGCACCTGGGGCTGCTGGAGGGTGGGGTGCAGATAGGTGCATTGGTAGGCAGTGGGAGCTTCTTAGAAATTAACTCATTTTGACCATAAAACTTGGCAGTTGTGTTCCTCAGATTTACCCAATGAATTGAAAACATAAATCCACATGAGACTTGCACATGACATTTATAGCAGCTTTATTCATAATTGATAACAAGTGGAAGCAACCAAGTTGTCCATCAGAAGCCAAGTATAAACTGGTGCGACTGGACAGTGGAATATTAGGCAACCTTAAAAGGGACTGTCAAGCCATAAAAAGACTGGGAGGAAATTTAAGTGTATATTACTAAGAGAAAGAAGCCATCTGAAAAACATGATTCCAACCGCATGACATTCTGGAAAAGGCAAGGATCAGGCCTCAGGGGAGGGGAAGGTGAGAGTTTGCAGGGCTGTGGACGTGCTTTGTGCCATATGGTGAGGTCCCTGTCCTCACAGTCCTCCGTGGCTGGCAGCGTGGGCCCCTTAACTGGAGCCAAGCATGCATCTGCAAGTGTGTCTGGGGCAGGGATGAGGGATGTCTGTTTCCTTTTCAGCAAGCCCAAAACTATTTTAAAAAATAAAGTCTGTTAGTTGAAAGTACCACTATGAAAGCTCTACAAGTAAGAAAAGAGGAAGTGGATGACAGTATTTGACAGGTGAGCAGCCATGGGGCCTGGGATGCGGGCACGCTGCCCTGGTACCAAGCTGCCCAACGGGAGGCTGTGGCTGTGCCCGGGAACCCATGTGGTCATTCAGCAGATGACCGAGTCCACAGCGAGGGTCCATTGGGTCCACTCATGGATGGCCACCCCTCCTTGCACCCAGTCCAGGGGCAGCCTCAGGGACCCCACTTGACCTCCAACCTGACTCTTCATCTTGTAACCCTGAAATTCTGTTCCTGGTAAATACGAATACCCCATCCCCTCTCCAGCTCCAGGCACCACCATTCTGCTCTTGATATGACTTTGACTACGGTGCTTTGTGGGTCTTGCAGAAGCAAATTGCAATGTACTTTTGTGACTGGCTTAGTTCACTCTGCATCCTGTCCTCAGGGGTAATCTGTGCTGTAGCAGGATCCTCCCTTTTCAGGGCTGACCAGTATTCCTCTGGTCATGTGAGTGGACCACATGTGTTTGTCTCTTCACCCGCTGACAGGCACTGGGGCTGTTGTGAGTAAAGCTGTGAATGCAGGAGCACACTTTCATTCCTTCCCATGGTTGAACAATATTCCATGCACATGACGACAGTTTATTTTTGGACTTAAATTGAGATAAGAATCAAAGAATCAGACAAGAATCAGAAGCAATCACAGATTTGCGACAAGGTGGCGGGTGGAGCGATGTCACACCTGTGCAGCTCCCTGCATCCACCCCTTTGGGCCAGCTTTCCTGAGGAGCCCCACGGTGAGTAGGTGGTTGGGTTGGGGTCAAAGGACACAAGGAAAAGGTCAGGACCATCTGCAAGAGAAACAGTGAGGCCGGCCAGGGTTGGGGTGAAAGCCATGGCTGCACAGCCTGCATCGCCCCCTGCAGGACACCGCAATCCCGACCTCTGCAGAGACTGAGGGTGGGGGGTGGGGGGCCCCTACCCTGGGCAGAGGCCCCCAGCCCCTCCCCAGAGGCCCTGGGAGCCTGGGGTGAGACTGCTTCTGTTCAGGATACTTCGCCACCCTCAGACCCACGGGCCGAGATCTGGCCACACCCGGCCCTCCTGCAGCCACCGTCCCTGCTGGAGTGAGGCACCCAGCGTGGCGAGGGACAGTGTGGGAAGATACGGCCGTGAGCAAGCGCCCGGGCAGGGTGAGGGGACGGAAAAAATGAGTGCGAGGAGCGGCTGCTTTCCGGGAAGTCGGACGCGAAGTGCTGACTGGCCCGCGCCGCTTTCTCCGTTCTTATCTGAGCCGCTGCCACCAGCCGGTAGCCTGGCCCGACGAGAGCGAGAGCGGCGGTGGCTGCGCGACCACTTCCTTCCCCCCGCCTTGCCTTTCTGTTGAGTATCGATTTGAACTCATGTTCTTTTAAACACAAAGCATGTTAAGCAATTACATTTTTTTGTGGTTCTGGGAATCGAGCCTAGGGCCTTCTCACTGAAGTGCATCCCCAACCTGGTTTTTTGTTTGTTTGTTTGTTTGTTTGTTTTTTAACTATGCCTCGAGACAAGTCACTAAGTTGCCCAGGCTGGGTTCAGATTTTCCATCTCCCATCTCGGGCTCCCAGAGAGCTACAATTGTAGCCGTTTACCACCATGCCTGCCCAGCAGTTTTGGCTCTTTTTTGATGCTCAGATAACCCTGTCTTTTGGACACGACCAACTTGTGTTTCTGTCCTGGGATGCGGAGCTGCCCCTGACACATCCCCTGCCCAGGTCCAGAGCAGCCCGGTTCCACTGCCAGGCGAGGTGCTCCGCGAGGCAGGGCCCCAGCTGATGGGGACTTGGGGGCCAGCTCCGGGTGACCCTGCCCTGGAAAGCCCAGTGCAGTGAGCCTCTGTGTGCCCTGTCACTTCACAGTGCCGCCAGTGACACCAGGGATGTGCTTCTGCCAGACAGACGTGGCCAAGGGAAGTGCTTTGCTCCCCGGCTTGGGCTGGCTGTCCCCCACAGCCTTGGTAACAGCTCTTGTCTGGTCCAGACTTCTGCTAGTCTGCAGGAGAAGTTCTAATTTATATTTTCCTTACTTGTACCATGAACAGCTAAGTTATATAGACATTAACAGGCAGTCAGAGAGGGACCAGGCCCTCAGCGGAGTCAGTGCAGAAGAGGAGTCGCATCCAAATTGTGGCTGGAGATGAATTGGAAGAGAGCCAGTCCTGCAAGCCTCCCTAGAAAAGACAGCAGCTTCAGATCAAACTGTAATCAGCACCAGGGAGCCACCTGGTCCAGGGAGCCCAGATAAGGCATCAGATGCATAGTGTGAGACCAGAACAGCCTGACCCATATTCCCATCCTTTCCCTGGAATGTCATTGTTCTTTCTCCATTAGAAGTTATAGAGGGCCAGGGGTTTAGCTCAGTGGTTCCGCCGCCTGCCTTGCAAGTGCAAGGTCCTGAGTTCGATCCCCGGTACCAAAAAAAAAAGGAAGAAGTTATAGATAAACTGAAGTTAGTGTTGCCCACCATATACCCTTGCTATGTGCTTTGCTTCCCTATTGAACAAATATTAGCTAAGCTCCTATTCTTGTAATCCTATAAGTTGATTGTATTCGACCCATAGTTAGTCAGGTTATGATTTTGTGTACAAATTACCCCTGGACAAAGTCTCAGTGACAGCTCACTTTCAGGAGCCCTCCTGTCTCTCAGACGCTTTCTCTCAATAAACCTTTCCTGCCCTTAACCTCCTTTGTCCTCATCCATTTTTCAGGTACCCAGAGATATGAACTTGGCACATTTGACATCTAACAGGTTGGGAGTCATTTCCCTGTGACATTATGAGTAAACTGGATGTCCTTCCACTGCTTAGGGACATCCACGTACACATGTGTGCACACAGATAAGGATGCAGCATCCATGCACACATGTATTCACAGATATATGAACAACATGCATTCATATGTGCACACACATAAGCATGTGAGCAACATGTGTGGAAACACATAGGTATATATATGCAACATTGTGCACATGCAAGGCATGTATGCAACACCCATGCACATTGGTATTATGCAACATGCACACACATGTATAGACATACTACAGTTCCAAGCCAGGCTTGGTGGTGTAGGGCTTTAGTCCCAGCATTCTGGGAGCTGAGGCAGGAGGATCAGAAGTTAGAGCTCAGCCTGGGTAACTTAGTGAGATTCTGTCTCAAAATAAAAGATAAAAAAGGGTTGATGAGGTAGCTCTGGGAAGGCTCTGGGTACTGCAAACAAACAAGCAAGTTATAGTTCCAGAAATGTGAGTTTATTGGGATGATGTTGAACCTATAGTGAGCAGGAAGAAATGTCTTCAACACAGAGACATTTGTGTGAGTCCCCATTTGTCCTGGGTTGGTCTTTCCTGTGTCGGATGGCTCTCCAGCAGTCCCGCACATTTGTCCAGCTGTCCCATCTCACCCAGGGCTGCTGAGGCAGGGTATCCTGACTGAGCCCAGGGCAGCCTTTGTTTCGGGACCCTGGGTTGACCAGGTTCTTGGCACTGGGTTTCTGCTTAGCTTTCTGGGGTCGCCCTCCTGAGCCCCTACTGTCTGAGAGCTTGGGCTTTGCTCCCTGTGCCACCTTGGTGAGCGCCCACAGGACCTTGGCCTCTTTGTCTGTCTGGGGTGTGCTGACCCCACTTTGCTCAGGGAGCTCAGAGTAGGGGGACAGTTGTAGCAGGGGTGCCTGCCTGGCACTGTTGATGGCAGCCAAGACCTGGTGAGGTGGTGGGCTTGGAGCATGTGTGCCCATCGAGGGGAAGCTCTGCAGAGGCCACAGTCCCTCTGGCCTGGAGGCCTGGAGCCGCCCACTCACCTGTGGTGATGGCTCACGCCAGGCACACCCTGTCCACAGGACTCCTAGGTGGGGGCAGAGCCCAGCAGGAGGGATATAGGCATATGCTTGGGGATGCTTGGGGACACATGTGGACACGCATGCTGGCTGAGGATGCCTGGGGCTGGGAAGGTGATCGGATTATGCGGCTCACAGCTGACTTAGCTAACTCCCCAGTTCATCCTTTGGCTCAGCAGCTCTCCTCTGCCAGGGCCTTCCACTGTACCTTCCTGCCTTGAAACTGGCTGACCCCATGGTCAAACCTTTAGCCTCTCTTCAAGTTATGGATATTGGCTATTTTGTCCCAGCGATGAAGAAAGTGACTAGGACAGGCTACCGCCCTAGTTCAGCAAGGTTTCCCACACCTGAGGTTGTGTGAGGGCAGAGATGAGGCCCTCGGGGATACGCCTGCCTCGGGCCACCGCCCATGCCTCCCTGAGCCTCAGATGAGCCCTGCTGCATGGTCTGCAGGCATAGGACAGGACTCGGAAGGCTTTCATCATGGTTTAATTATAACTCCGCAGAACCAAAGGGAAAGGGCTCCTGGCCCCACTGTGCAATTTTGCTCACCCTGGATGGGAGCCCGCCCAGGCCTCTTTAACACTGAATGGGGACAACCTGTGCCGCCCCAGCCCTGCCTGGAACCTCCCTTCCCCACAGCTGGGTGGGGCCCTGTCCTGCACCCTAGCCTGGGTGAGCAGGGCTGGGGCGAGCTGTGTCCTTGGGGACAGCTTCGAGGCTGCCTGTTCCCCACATGCCTTGGTTTCCCTCTGGAGAGAAATCTGAGGAGTTTCCCACTGCAGCCAGAAGTTCTTCCTTCTTTCGTGGAAACTTCTCCGGGCCTGGGTGGGCACAAGGATCCCCGGCCCCTCCCATGCTCTTGGCCCAGCAAGGTCACCTTGTGGGCACCCGCAGGCACTGCACTTGGCTTTTGGTGGCATCCCCTTGTGGTGGGCAGCTCCCAGCCAGAGTTCCCAGAGTCCACCGGGACAGCACCTGAGCCCCTGGCAGTGCGCAACCACGGCACTCAGAAGCACAGGCCCAGCCAGCTCTGGCCCGACCAGGATACACCCATGGCTATGCCCACCCCCATGCCAGGGAGAGGGATGCGGCTGCTTCAGCTGGTGGTGAGCACGGGGAGGCTTGTCCTGGATGGGGCTGGCGCAGGAGCAGGGCTGTCACTGCCTAGCACCCTGCTTGGCCGACATCTGACTGCCCTGCCCTGTGCTCTCCGCGGAGGGCCTGTGGGACGTGGGCTTCCGAGGAAGACCGTCAGAGGGGCCAGGAGCAGTGTCCGTCCTGCTGTCTTGGAGGCCGGAGGGCCTGGAGGCCACCCGCAGAGGTCCTGAGGCCTGGAGACAAGGCGCCTAGCCCTTCAGGGAAGACGATGGTGGCATACTCTGTGTGCACACAGGGGGCAGGGCATTCTGGGGCCTTCTCTCGGCCCTGGAAGTCCAGAACCCCATAGTCCATGGTGACGGTGGGCACTGCTGAGGGGCCTTCCTTCTTTAGGGAGAGAGGAGGGTTGTTGGTGCAGAGCCCCAGCAGTGGCCAGCGCCCCCTGCCCCAAACCCTGTCCCCTTTCTAAGAGCAGCTGCCGAACCCGGGCCTGATGGCTGTCCCCTCACTGTCCCTCTCTGTGTGGCTAGGGGCACAGCCACTCCTCTCTGCCTCAGTTTCCCCCTCTAAACAGTCCTACAGTTTGGCAGACTTAGGATTCCAAACTGTGTTTTCCTGTTCCCTACTGCCCAGCACAGGGTTAGTGACCTCGTGGCACTCAGGCAATAGGCCTTGGGGCAGTGGGAGGGGGCCCACCAACACTGCTCTGGGGGCCTGGGAGGGTGTGGGTGGGAGCTGCCAGTGTGGGGGTGGATGCCTTGGCAGGGGCCGGACTTACCCGGGGTTGCTCCTTGCTCCTAGCTCCTTCGGCCTCTGCAGAGAAGCACATTTGGAATCAAGTGGCTGATGCCAACCCTCCTCTGGGGAGTAGGGTCTTAGCCTGGGTCCCCATCTGGGTGGGGCAGCGGAGGGCTTCATTGGCTGGTCCTGGGGTTTTCAGGTCTGGAGGGGGTGGGTCTTGGGAGGGACACCATGTCTTCCTCAGATCACAAGCTTCCAAAGGAGCAATGGGAGCCTCAGGTGGGCCACCATCGCCTCACCTGTGCCTGCTGCAGGGACGCAAGCCCCGTGCCCTAGGCACATGGCACATGGCAACCTCGTGTGTGTGCGTCTGGAGTGCGGTGATACAGTCTCTCATGGGGGTCAGAGTGTGTGTGGGGTGTGCTGGAACAGGCCCTGATGGGGATAAGAGACTATATGGGGTTTGGTGACACAAGCCTTCATGGTGGGCAAGTATTTGTGTGCAATGTGTAGTGACACAGGCCCTCACGGTGGCCAGGGTGTGTGTGTGTGTGAGGGGTGGTAACACAGGCGCTCATGGTAGTCAGCTACGTGGCTTTATAAGAGGAAATGTCGGGCGTTGGGCAGGAAGCAGAGGCCATCAAGGGCAAGACATGACCTGGGGTCTGAGGCCTAGGGGAGGTGGCATATCTGTGACAAACTTACCTGGCACAGCCCTGGAGCATACGGCAGCCAGGACCCAGGCCAGCAGCAGCAGCACAGGGATGCCCACTAGAACACTCATGGCCCCAACAACCAGGCCTTGAAGGTGGCCCACCGGCCTGGGCGAGGGGCTGGGGTGCACTGTGGGGGGCTCCAGGATTCTCTCTGGGGACCCCAAAGACAGGAGTCAGGGACTGTGGTGAGGGACTCTGCAGTGTGTCTCCACACTCAGGGGCACCCGCCTTGTCTTCAAGGCTCAAGGGTTGTCCCCGCTGGGCCTGTGGTGACTGGCCCCTGTCTTGCAGCTGGGAAGAGGGCCAGGCACATTACGCACAGAGGTGCCTGCCCCTCTGCTGTAGGCCCAGCCCTCCCCCCATCATCTGGGCTGGGGGCTTCCCAGGCGAGGGGCCCTGCCCCACCTGTCACCATGAGCTCTGCCCGGCAGCTCTCTCTGATCTCCGCCTTGGGCCGAAGTGAGATGGCCCCACACAGGTAGATGCCGCTGTCATTGCGCTGCACGGAGAGGACACTCATCTGGAAGCTTTGCCCATCGGGGAGCTGGGCCACCTGGAAGCGTGGGTCCAGGTTGCTCTCCCTGGGGAAGGCAGCCAGCTTGTCGGTCTGGTTACTGGGGCTTAGCCGGTACCAGTTTAGCACGAAGTGCTCTGATGAGTTGGAGAAACTGCAGGTGAAGGTGGCATTGGCACCCTCGGGCACTGAGAGCTGCGCTGGGGAGAAGGAAGGGCTGCAGGACCTGTTGGGCGGGTCTGAGAGGAACGGCAGAAGAGTGCTGTGAGAAGGCGCTGGCAGCCAGGCAGGCCCTGGGCCTCTCCTGCACGCTGCCAGGATGGGGCGGTCACCCCACGGAAGCCCCTTTCTTTGACTTTGTTGATGGTTCCAGCCCTGACCTGGGGCCAATGTTGTCCTGAGGATCTTAGCCCCCTTCCCCGTTGACCCCAGATTGCTGCCCCCAGGCAGGCTATGCATCTCCTGGGCAGGCACAGGTCCTGTGCGGTTCTCACGTGGCCTGGCCTGGTGCTGTCTGCCCTCGGGGGAATGATCACCAGGAAGCAGGCTGGGTAGGTGGGGCAGTGGGGCCCTCAGCAGGACCGGGGAGACTCACATGGGCAGTGCAGCCCTGGGGGCAGCATAAGGCCTGGGTCTTCCAGTAGGACCTTGGACTGGCGGTCACAGCACGAGGCACAGAGGCCAGCCGGGCCACTGCTCCACGGGGGACAGAAAGGAGCCCATGGCCCTGCCTCTCAGGACCACAGCAACCAGGGCTCTGCTGGGGCACTGGGCTCCCAGCAGCGGCTCAGGCCCAGCCCCCTGATGCACGAGTGCTCACAGACATCCTGCATTTGCACACGGCCTCCATGCTAAGAACCCCCAGCAGAGGTTCCCCGTCCTGGCAACACAGAGATGGATGTCAGGGCCCAGGGTCTGGAGTAGGTGGCCTCGAGACCTGCTGCACTGGGCTTTGCCCCGCAGTGAACACCTCCATGGGGTCAGCACTCTGACAGCCGCACCCAAGGTCTCCCTTGTCACACAGGAGACAGGCTGTTTCCCACCCCACTGAGTGGCCGTATAGCAGCAGTCCTCCTGCTCCTCAGCAGCATCCATCCTAGCATGCCATGCATGGCTGTGGCCACGGCTGTCATTTGTGTCCCTTTCTGTCTGCCCCTCGTGTCCACTCTACACCTCCCTCCTTCCTTCCCTTGCTGTTTGGCTTGGCTCCAACCTGGGTGACAGTATTGGCTGGGCCTGGCTTCCCACACAGTGACAGGAGAAGGCTGTGGTTGCCATGGCTACGGGTCCTCTTCCAGGGACAGTGGGACCTCTGGGGGCAGCGCGAGAGCTGGCCTCACAGTGGCGCATGGCTGTCTGAGACCAGCGCCTGTGTTCAGGAAGGAAGTGGCTATTTGGAAGGATCTGTCCATGGTGGGGCTGGGTATGGGAGATGCCAGGTGGCAGGTGGGCTACACTCACCCAGCTTAGTGCTCCTCTCTCCTGCTGCCTGCCTGTGATGGACAGACAGGGACCAGAGAGCCAGCGCGGGGGTTGTGCCCTCTAGCAAGTCCCTTCTGCATTGAAGCAACACAGACACCACAGGCCACAGCAGGCCTTGCCTCCGCCTGAACTGTCCCACCACACACATGCTGTCCAGCAGGTCAGACTGGGGATTTCCCTTGTTGGTGCCAGTAGGCCTCTTCTTCACATAATTCAAGAAATAGAAGTTCTTTTATTGAAGACCTCCAGTAGGCCAGCGTAGTGATACATGCCCACGATCCCAGCTACTCATGAGGCTGAGGCAGGAGAATCTCAAGTGCAAGGCCTCTTGTAGAGTGCTTCCTAGCATGTCTGAGGCCTCAAGTTCTACTCCTAGCAGGACACGAAGGGGCCGAGTCTACCTATGTGTGGCAGCACAACCTGTAACCCCAGCACTCGGAAGGCAGAGGCAGGAGAATCGGTAGGAGTTGGGGCCAGCCTGGTCTACATAGTGAGTTTAAGGCCAGCCTGCACTACAAAGTGAGACCCTGTCTCAAAAAAGGCCAAAAAAGGCCAAGTCAGAGCGGCCAGCCACAGTGCATGTTGGGGCCTTGGGATATAAGGGTGCCTGGATGCTTGGGTGCCACCCTGTTTGGACCCTTCCCGTGGCTGCCAACCCCATCTCATGTCCTGCAAGGCCTGGAGGGAACCTGAGCCCCAGGCCGAGTTCCCAGGCCCGGCTGCTAGACCAGAGGTAGAAGGGTGAGGGGCATGGGCTGGGGTGTCCCTTATCCTCATGGAGGATGGTCCCTCAAGGGGCTCAGAGGCCAGGGCTCCTGAACCAGGGCCCCACTGTCCGCAGAATCCACTGGGGACTCTCAGAGCTGTGCCTGCCCCCCTGGAGGTCATACCCTGGGCCGCAGCAGACTCGGTGCCTCTGGATCTATTCTGTGGCCGCCTTGGCTCTGGGCCTGACACCCCCAGCAGAGGCCCCTCGAAGGCTGCATCAGGGTGGCAACATCCTGTGGTCCCCTCCTCTGGGGCCCCTCAGAAAGCAGGGTCCCCTCCCAAGCCATCGCAGTGACCCCCAGTCTGGACGTACCCCTCTGGCCCCCAAATCCACTGCCAGGTCTGGGTCCAACGTCAGGACCTCCAAACATCCCCACACCCTGAGCACCAGATAACTGCAGAGGCCCTGGGGTCAGGCCGGGGTCCACCCCTGGGAGCCACGTTCTCTCCTTCACAGGCTCTGCCCTCCAGGCGGGCTCTGGCTGGCGCTCAGTGTGTAGCCCTGGGGCCAGTCTTCACCCTGTCTCTCCGTGGTTCTGGCCCTTGCCCCCAGGTCACAGTTTGGTGGCCTCCTCTGCCCCTGGGCTTCCCATTGTCCCCCTACATGGGGCCTTCTCTTGTGGGTCTAGGCCCAGCCCAGTCCTTCCCACTCACTTTTCTGCTTGGATCACTCTGTCTTTCAGCCGGTGGGCCTCAAACCAGGACCCTGGCACCAGGGACCTCCTGGGAGCCCTTGGGTTGAGTGACTAGGCATCGCCTTGCCCCCTGGCTGCTGGCTGAGGGTGGGGCTAGAACACAGTACCCCATCACCTGTGCCAGGCCTCCTGCCCAGGGAGCCCAGCATGGGGACTGGAGGGGACACTGGCCTCCTGCCAGCCCTAGCCTGCCAGCCCCAGCCCAGCCTTCCCAGAGCTCCCTCTGAGGCCAACCATGGTTTAACGCTTTTCCACGGTTCAGCATTGGACTCTTAACTGCCCAAGTCATGTGCTAAGAGTATCTGGAAGTGGGCCCTTCCTTGGACTCCCAGCTTCTAGAATTTGAGTGGAACAAACTTTTACTCTTTACATAGACCCGGTATGTTCCGTTACAGCAACAGAAATGGACATAGTCAGGGATCTCCTCCAGGAAGCCTCCTGGCTTCTCAGCAGGTCACGAGTCCCCAGGAAGGTAACATTCAGAAGTGACCACCGCCTGGTTCCTGGGGAAAGTGGAGTCTAGGCTGTTTCTGTGCCAGTCTGTGGCTTTCCCTGGGAGCCATGGAAGGGGCTGACAAGAGGACATTGTGTCCCAGGCCAAGAAGGGGCAAGCTCAGAGGTGACTTCACAGATGACATGTGTCACAGTGGCCACTGCACATCTTATTTTAGCAGGACCATCTAGGGGTGCTAAAAGCATTACCAGGTGGGCTCTTGGGGTCCCTGGTGACTGGACAGGTCCCTTACTCATCACCCCGTGCCCAGAGGAGCAGCCTAGCGGGAGGATCAACCTGAGAGGTGCTTAGTCAGTAAGGGGCTTGTCCAGTCACTAGGTACCCCGAGGTCTGGCTCTCTTTTGGGAAGGGGGCACAGGTACATGCATGGCCACACACACACATGCACGCACACACACGGATGAGGGTGAGGTCGGGGAGATGCTGTTGCCAGCCAAGAACCCCAAGGTGGCCTGGGCCACACCGAGGACAGCCTGACCACAGACCTCCAGGCTCAGAGTCCCAAGGTGCCACCTTCAGGGCTTTGTCACAGCAGCTGCTAACAAAGGCCCAGGTGCCACAATGCCAGAGGCCCAAAGCTATGCAGGGAGATTCATTCTGAACACATGCCCAGGTCTCACTTCCTACCATTCCAAGCTGCTGGGTTTGGGGCATCTCACGAAATACACACGAAAATGGGCGCTGCCCACAGGGAAGACCAAGATGAATACACTAAGCAAATTAGGCAGGAAGACTGCAGGAACAAGAGGATCCCTGTAGCCAGGGTGCTGGGTTGGGGACAGGACAAGCAGGACATTGCTTTGCCAAGGGTCCCACTGCCATGTGAACTCCACGCGCACAGCAGGAGCTAGGCTGTCCTCCCAAGGCCCCCATGGACCCCAGGACCACTGACTCCAGTCTGTGTCCTCCACAGGGTCCTGAGAGTGACCCCGGCTTTCCTTAGAGTATCAGCATGGAGGGTCAAGAAGGTCCCGGGAGGAGGCACGAAGGTCATGTGGGGCATGAAAGGGCTGAGTCAGGGAGGGGCCAGCAGCAGTGAGGGCCGGGGCCTGGACACATGAGGACACTTGGATGGGTGGGCCTCACCCGGTCTAGGTCCTTGCAGCAGTGGCCACCCTTACATGCCCTGCTAGGCTCAGAGAGAACCTGGGCCCTCAGCTGCGTTCCCAGGCCAGGCTGGTGGCCCAGAGCAGAAGGACAAGGGGCACAGACAGGAGGGGTCTCTTCTCTTCCAAGTGGGTGATCTTGCCAGGGGCTCAGAGGCTAGGCCTGAACTGAGGCCCTGCTGCCCCAGAGCCTCCTGTGGACACCCAGAAACGTGCCTGGCCCCCTGGAGGCCATACCCTGGGCCACCTTTGTTGCAGCCAACAGCAGCTGCCAGTCCTGCCAAGAGTCTGCCCCCATTCCAGGAAATCAGCGCAGACAGGGCATACCCAGGCCCAGGGACAGTGAAGCCGGGCTTCACAGAGAGGGCTGTGAAACCCAGGACTAGCCTAGGGGGAGAGAGCTCCTGCCTGCCCGACAGCAAGGAGGGGCCCAGTCAGAGCCCAGAGAGGGCCCCTGGCTGCCAAAGCCACCCAGGATGGTCTGCGGTGCTGGGGACGGGTCCCCACTGACAGGGACGAGGGCCCCGACTTGCCCCAGCCTGGCCACGCCACGCGCCCACCTACCTAAGAGCCATCCCGGCCTCCAGCCCAGCTGCAGCACCGCCCAGGTGAGCGGCCAGGGCACCTGAGAGACCCGCATGCCCGAGTGCCAGCCCGCACCTCCCGTCGGCTCAGGCAGCGGAAAGGAAACTGCCCCAGGTCGGGCCGGAGGGAGGGGACCTGCGCTGGGCCCTCACCCCCTCTTCCTCCACCTCCACAGGGGCGGGGAGAGCTGCGGGAGGAGTCGGGGGAGGAGAGAGGACTCCGGAAGGGTGGGAGGGGACAGCGGCAGGGCAGAGAGATGCAGCAGGCCGGCGAGGCAGCTGCCGCCCCGCCCCGCCCCGCGTGGGTCTTCCCGCTGTCACCCTGCTGGGGCAGTTTCTGTCCATTTTCTTCCCTGTGGTTTGTGGTTTCCTCCCGCTCCCCCGGAGCTGCCGTCTGCGTCCCCTCGCTCCCCTCCTCCTGCTCGGGAAGGGTGCTCCCTGGGGGCTCTGGGCTGCAGGAAGGAGCTGGACCTTCCTGTCCTCCCAGCCTGGCTGGTGCAGAGCAGCCCTCAGCTCTCTGCTGGCCTCAGGGTTTGAACCACTGGGGTCCAGCGGGGCCAGGAGGGGAACAGCTGTGGTGGACGACCCCCTGGGCTGGGGATAGGCAGGCGCTGACTGCCTGGGCTCCGCAGCCCTGGGCCCCTTCCCCTTAAGGGCACTCGCCCTCCTATGGGCTCCCTAGATGACCCACTGTCCTCTGCTGAGACCCTTGCCGGGCCATGTCCCTTTGCCTCCGAGGGCCTCACCAGGCCCCAGTCCGGGTCAGTGGCCTCAGCCTCCGGGTGGGAAGCTTCCCCCAGGCCATCCTCCGGATACTGTCTCCTCCATCCTTTGCGTGCTGGCTCGGTTGTTTCACTGCGGCCTGCTTTACGCTGTTATTACAGAGTGGAAACTAAGAGGAACGAAACTGCTGATATTAGTGATGAAGCTGAAATAAGAAACAACCTGCAGGCTGGAAACTGCCTGCCAGCTGTGCCCCAGTGGGAGGCACCGGACAGGCCGATGTGAGAATGAAGTGAATGCTGGCCGTCAGTGGGGGCAGCCATGGAAAAAGAGCATCAGAGGCAGTGGCAAGCGGGTCTGTGAGCAAGGTGAACGAGGCCACTCCTGGCCTCGCGCTGCGGGCACGGCGGTGAGGCCTTCAGGACATCAGGGCACTGGGCCTTTCACAGGGCGCCAGTGGCAAGGGCCTGGGTGGGTTCTGGTCAGGACCCCCGCCCCCAGTCCCCAGCACTCCCTGGAGCCTTCCTCTGTGACAGAGGCCGGACCCCGGGGAGTTGGGGCTGGCTGGGCCAGTCACCCTCCCCAGCCTCTCTTCCTAACCGGGAAGACTCCTCCAGACGCAGGCATGGGGCAGCCGGATAGCACCCTGCTTGGGAGGGGCCTGGGACAATAGGCAGCTCCCTGGGGTGTGTCACCCTTTCAGCCTAGGCCCCGTGCACGTGCCAGCCCACACCCTGGTGCACTGCCTGCTGCTCTCCAGGGATCTGTGGAACTGCAGGCAGCGCTGTACCAGGGCACGACTCTCCCACTGCCTGGGCTTTATGCGTTCCTGTGCCTGCAGGGTCGTGTGCTGGAGTGAAGAGGGACAATGGCGCCAGACTCGCCACACAGACTCGGGCACCGCAGCCCAAAACCCTGAAAACACACTGAGAAAGAAAAGCTGGGGTTCCCAGCCAGACCCACAGGGACATCACAGTGGTTTTCTTCATGATCCCCAGGAACTGGAGTCCACCAGATTTGCTAGGGTGGGGCAGGTGTGACTCAGTAAACATGGACTGTTCATACCACAGACTGCAGTGAGGACAGGGAGCTGAGTGAGGCCCGCAGCTGGAGGAGGCCCGGCATGTGTGCGCCTGGCCCAGTCCCGCAGTCCCGCCGCACACCATGCGCCCTCTGCGGTTGTGCAGGGAGGTTCTGCAGTGTCTCTCTTGCTAGGCACTGAAGAGGCTGAGGTCCGAGACCCTGCTGGGCCCCACTAGAAGTCTCCCCAGGGCCTCCGACCTCCGGTTTCCAAGGCGTGGTTAGAAACAGGAGGCAGTGCCAACGGGGGACAGGGATCCCCGGTGCTCCGGAGGCAGCGGGAAGTTTCCGTCCCCAGGATGGGCACAGGCTGGGGAAGTGCAGGAAACGGGGCTACGCTGAAACTCTCTGCGTGGTGTAATGTGGGTGGCAGCAGCATCCCAGCCCGCGCCCCAGCCCAGTGAGTCCCGTCCAGGAGCGGCCGCCCACAGGACACCCAGGCCCAGCCAGAGATGCAGCCTGCTTCACAGGTGCCTTGAGGTTGGAACAGGAAATGGTTAATAGTGTTTGCAAATAAAACTTTCTGTTCATCGTGTGTCTGCAACATTTCCCAGAAGTTAAAGAGAGAGCAGATAATGTATCTGCCAATTTAGGAATGGAATTTTAAAAAGCTGAAAGGGGTATTCCCGCACTTTACCCTACTGAAGAGGGAAGGCCCCAGGAGGAGGAGAAGCAGTTCCTGGGCCCCTCTCTCCTGCTTTGTAGCTTCCTAGAGTGTGCTCAGTAGTTCAAGTGTGCACTTACAGCTTCAATTTTCAAAGGTGTTTGTGGGTACTTGTACATGTATGTGTGTATGAGCGTGTGTGTGTGTACGCGTATGTGCAGGTGAGTGTGCTGTGTGCACTTGTGGCAGGACCATGGCCTCTGGGCTGGAGGTTGTCCCTCCTGAACAGCAATGCCCCTAGGAGTAGAGTGGGGCCCTGGCCCCGCAGAGCCTGGACCAGATCACATGCTGGCTGTGCGGTGGCCGGGAAGCCTGGCCATCCTTGCTGAGTCTTTGGGGATGAAAGGTGAGTCCAGTGCTCCCCACAAAGACTTTCTGCCCCTCTCTGTCCCTTTCTGACTCAGAGCATGGCAGGGACCTGCAGCAAGGGCTCGAAGCACAGGCCACGAGAACACCAGGACTGTATCTGTGGCTGGCCACTGTGCTGGCTGGCATGGAAGTGGCCTCTGCGAGGCCTGTCTGGGCGTTGGGTCCTAATGGGTGTGCAGCTGAGGCTTCCCCAAGGCTGTTCCCTGTGTCTGGAGAAGTCTGGGATGTGTTGCTCCCTGCATTTCTTAAGGGCTGGCATTGGAGTCCCCAAGGCTGCTCTGGGTGGTGGCCAGTCCCGTCCCTAAGGCTTTTCCCAGTATTGAGCCTGACTAGGTCTCAGGAACCATGGAGTCTGCAGGGCAACAGAGACACTGGGCAGGTGGGCGGTGGGGAGGGAGCCAGGAGCCTGGACTGAGGCTGAGGAAAGGAGCGGCCGAAGCTGTCCCCTTGGAGCTTGTGTGACTGTGACCAGACCCTCTAGGGACTTCACACAATGACCTAAAACAAGCAAGCAGTGAACCCCAGGACCTAGGATTCCATTTTGACTGCTGCAGCCAAGTGGGGTGATGATCAAAGCCCCAGAGAACAGTGTTTTCAGGGAACACAGCAGCTGGTACATTCTCACCTGAACTGGAACCCTGGAGGCCATGTTCCTGGTGCTCTGCTCCCTCAGGGCTTGGCTTCCGGCCCCAAGGGCACCTCATGGCTGCTACAGCACTGGCCACCATCTCTGCCCCCATGAACAGAAGAAAGAGCAAAAGGAGAGAGCAGTAGGCTCATGGCAGCTTATGTGAGCCCACACTGAGGACCCTTTCTAGGGGAACATCCCGAGATGCCCTCTCATGCCTGCTGCCACGCCTAACTGCAGGGGAGGACGTGTTGTGTCTGAAAGGGAGCTGCAAGGAAGTTTCTGGGAGAAAACAGGAAACTGCCCGGACTGAACTAGCTGCAGACTGGACAAAGAGGAAGAGGGAGTTGGTGAACTGGGAGGAAAATGGAAGGTGACTGCTCAGGGAGAGGCCAGAGAGGGGGCGACAGAGGGCAAGTGGGGGTCTTGTGTGTGATTGGGGCTGGAGGGAGGTGGGTGGCCCTGCCCAGCCCCGGGAAGTGCGGATGGCTTTGGGGACAGCTGTGCTGACTGGGCATGTTGACAGTGATGGTGTGACCTGAGGCTCACACAGGAGCAGGGTGGGAGGAGAGAGGATCTGTCCACAGCAGGCAGGTGCGCAGGCGAGGGTAGGCAGCCAGGGCTCAGCTGGGGGAGGGTGGGGCAGGGCAGACAGCACTGGTGACCGGGCCCAGGGCTGGAGCGGGGGTGTCTCCCGCCAAGCGGTGGCAGGAGTGGTCCTCAAAATTGGCTGGACGATATGGTGAGGTCAGGTCTGGACTGCACTGGACAAGCAAGATGGCTCACTGAGTGAATGCTTCCCTCTGCTAGGGCCACAGGTGTGGGGGGTCCCGCTGCATGAGCCCTGCCAGGGTCTCCTGAAGCCTGCTTAGTCACTGGGGGACCTGTCCTTTGAGCCACCTCTGAGGGCTGGGGGTGCGTCCTTGCTGAGAGAGATGTGCCAGGCATGGCAGCTGTCTGTGTGAACTTTGTGCCTGTGGGTGTCAGGGACAAAGGACATTTGACGTTTCCATGGCCCCAGGCCAGCATCTCATGGCCTTGGTCACTCTGGCTGCCATCAGCAGCCACAGACAGGTTGGCTCTTGAGTGGTGCAGAGAGCCTCACCTTCAGTGCTCCTGAGCCAGGGTCGGGGCTGCCCCCTGCAGCACCCTGAGAATGCTGAGGGAGGAGGCACCACACTCGGCCCTCACCCTGAGGACACCTTCTTCAGGCTGCTCTGCTCTGCTCTGAGCTCGTCCCCAACACATGAGGACTGCACTCACTTGCCCACTCTGCCCAGTGGTGGCCTGTCCTGTCCCCAACTCTTGTGCTCTGACAAACTACTGTTATGCACGAGGTGTGACTGAGTCTCATAGAGAACCAGGGAAGGCAGGTGGAGCTGGGCACACGCACAAAATGAGTGACACGAAATTCTGACATTTAGTCAGTAGAACACACAAAAGCAGCAGCTTGATCCGAAATGCCCAGGGCTCCCCAGAGGTGGTGCCCCACCACATGGGGCAGCAGTTGGACCAACAGCAAAGGGCAGGGGAAGGCTGGGGCCTTGGGGCCTAGGGTGAGGAAGACCCTGTTCCACGGTGCTCAGGACTGAGGCAGGACTGCAACTTGCGGCCTGGGAGCAGAACACCTGACCCTCAGAGGACTTGGCAGAGCACCGCTTGCAATGTGTGCAGCATAAAGCTGGCTTCGGGAACTCACCAGGAATGGAATGAGTGCCTGAGGAAATTTACTGAAATACACGCTGTGAGAAATGGCCAGGAGTCAAGAGGGGAGTGCCAAAGGGACCTGAGGGCAAGCTTTTCAGTGGCTGCAGGCCGTGGGCTTTGTGGCATTCAGCAAGAGTGGATGAGAGGTCATTTCTGGTGTAGGGTTGACAGCCCTGTGACATGATGGGCATGGGACAAACAGTCACTTGTGATGAGGCTGCACTTTGGCCCCTGGATGAATGTCCTAAAATAGTCGTTGAGGCCCGCTTTACAGAGTGGAGGATTTCCACAGGTGTGTCTCCACGACTTCCTACTCACGAGTGTGAACGTATCTAAAGGAAGGTGCATGGCTGGGTACACAGATGCCAGTGTGCCCACTGCGTCATGCTGATTGATGATCGCTGGGTGGTGGGATCCTGGGTGATTTTGTTATGCGGTGATTTTCCTTTCTGCTTCCTGTTTCTGAGACAAACCCAGTTGCCATGGAGATCGTGCTGTTGTCAAGGCAGCTGATTGGCTGACACCCGGATGCAGGATGCTTCCCTAGGTCCGAGTGGGTCAGCCTGCATTGCGCATCCTGGCAGCAGCATGGACAGGCCTGGGACAGACGTGTGGGGGAGCACCTTTGCCCAGCTCATGGCTGAGAAGAAGCCCCAGGACCTCTGGGTCCTGCACCCCCAGGAGAACCTGGCCTCTGGGCACCTGGACAGCGGTAGTCTCCAGTACTGGCTGAAGGGGCTTTCAAGGTGCGGTGAGGGCTGGGGCTCCCGCAAGTGGGAGAGGGCTGACGATGTTTCCTATTGACCCTAGCTGGGTTTGGTCCCCAAGGGGGCAGGTATCACTGGGACCAGAAGCAGGGCTTCTTCCTGGCCTGGTCTTGTCAACAGGTGGGTGGGGCTGGGTGCTCCGGGTCCCTTCTGGGTAATGGAGGTGGGTGAGATGGGGTCTGTTCTGCTCACTCTGGCCCCTCTGGCCAACGTTGCCCTCAGATGCGCAGGCTTAGGATTGCAGGCCCTGCTGCGGCATCTTGTGGGCAGAGGGGAGCTGGGCAGGGCTTGGCCTGAGGAGCTGGAGAGCCTCCCCAGCCTCGCTTCGGGGTGCAGTGGGGGCTGGGTAGGAGGCTGGCATGATGACAGCCTCTGTCAGTGTAGCAGGGGCATGGCCCATGCCATGGGCTTCTCCATCCTGCCAGTCATTCCTGGCCCTGTAGGGAACCCTCAGGCTTCTGGCCAGGTACATGCGTCCCTGGGCAGAGGGTTTTTTTTTCCTGCCCTTTGATGTAGATACCACAGTTCCTCGGCATTTGAAATGCAGGAGCAAGAGCACGCTAGGTTCTGCCGTTTCAGTTTGGGACAGTGAAGCCTCTCCCCGGGAGGCATCGCTACCTCAGAGCCCGGATGCACAGTGGACCTAACACACTGGGGTGGGGCCCATGCAGGCTGGCAGGGACAGGGCTGGGGGGCAGGAAACACTCCCCGCTCCCTGCTGTCCAAGCTCAAGGATCAGACTTAAGGGAGTCAGAAGGTTCATCCCTCAGGCAGGAGCTATGTCCACGTGGATGGAGGACAATTCCACCACCCCAAAGCCCCCACAAGGGCAGGCTTCCAGGAGGCTGAAGTTGTGCAGCAGGGCACTGCAGGGTCTTGGGGAAGAGGGTTCCCTGCATGGCCAGAAGCTGTCCAGGCTCCCCCTCAGGGCAAGCAGCCCAGCCCCTTCCCCCAGGGCCGCAAGCTTGGTTTCTTTTGGTCAAGGGGACAGGTGCCCAGGCGTCTTGCTCCCGTCAACTGGCAAACACTGTGAGAGTCACATGCACTCTGTGGGTCTATGTCAGGCTGAACCTGCCTAGGGCTCCCTGAAGTTTCCCATGCTGTGCATGCAGGTGCCCTTGACTTGATTTCCTTCAGCTGATGAGTGGAAGATGGAATTGCCCCTTCTTTTGGGATGGGGACTCATCAAGGTTCATCCCCCCAGCACCTTGCCTGCTGAGCCAGGGCCACTGGGCCTCACTCTCGTTCTGTCCACCTGAGGTGGGCTGCATTTGACACCTGCTAACCCCAAGCCACAAGCAGCAGAGGTGCCTCGAAGATGTCAGAGGGCCGATTCTGTGCCAGTGATGGGAGTCACTTGTGCTCAGTCCCTCTGAGCACTGGGCTTCAGGTAGAGGGGTGAAGACAGCAGGCAAGGGCTGCAGGGATACGGTGGGAGGAGCACAGGCCCACCTCAGCCTACCCTGCTGCTTGGTGAATGAGGTTTGAGGTTTGAGCATGGGATGTGGGACCAACCAGGGGTGTCAAGCGGCCAGATGGTGGGGTCCCAGCAGAGCCCCGTGGGCTCCGTGTGGGGTCTCTTCGCAGCTCAGGGTTCCCTCTCCTCCACTCACTTGTTCCCTCTCCCCACAGGCTCCAGTGCAACCGCTGTCCCTGGTTCTGGGGCTCTGCCCATGTGCGAATTCTCTTCCGCCTATGGTGGGACAGGGACCACCGCCGAGGGCATGTGAGGATGCGCCTGTGGGGCCCGAAGTGCAGGCTGTGCCCACCGGAGGCCCCTGGGGAATGCCACGTGAGCCCTTCCCACATCCGGCCTCTCCTCCGAGAGCTGGTTGTGCACGTCCTGCAGACCTGCTATGGGGACAGCCCTGGACAGGGCTCCAACAGCCGTGCTGGGGATGGCTGCGAGGCCTGCGATCTGGGTGTCTGCTTCCTCCAGACGGAGCCTGAGCCTGCTGCGGGGCTCCTGGCCGTGAGCATGGAAGCCTGGGGAGGCAGGGGCTCTGGCCAGGGTGGTGAGGCTCCCACATCTGGCCAGGGCCAGCTGCTCCACCCTGGCAGAGGCCCCCTGGCCAAACGTGCCGGGGGCCACAAAGCCGTCACCATCCCCATCTTAGTGATCGACTTCATGGAGGATCCCTTCCCTGAGGACAGCGACTTCTTTGACCAGGGTGACCCCATGGTCACCATTCCTTTCTCCCTCGTGGACACCTCAAATGGCCACAGTCTTGTAGTGCTGGAGGAGGTCATTGGCCAGGGCTCCATCTGCCTGGTGGGAGGCTCTGGGGCTGTGCCTGAGGGGCAGGGCATCCCAGTGTACTTTAAGGCTCCCGTCTTCCCTGGCCAGGGCAGCATCTTGGAGACCTTTGAGCTCCCGGGCTTCCTCTTTGGAGGCCAGGACTCCCCACCCAGCCCTGTTGGCACGGCTAAGGGCCAGGGCCCCATTTCCTTCAGTGTCGGCTGCCTGGCTCCTGGGAATTCCTTTCCCTCTGTGTCCTACGTCATTGGCCTGCTGGCCAATGGGGAGGGCTGCATCACTCTCCCCTTATCTCTAACCAGCATCTTCAGGGGCCAGAACACCCTCACTTACATCCCTGAGGGCAGCGGGAGGGGAGATGGAGGCCAGAGCCAGGCCACTGATGGTCACAGTTCCCCTCTGGAGACCCGAGCAGAGCCCGGAGCTGACAGCAAGGAGGGATCTGTCACCTTCCCCTTCGCCTTTACTGACCACGCCCAAGGCAAGGACTCCTTCAGTGACATCGCCAGAGGCGGAGAGAAGGGAGCTAGCGCAGAGGGCCTGGTGTCCAGCGTCGTCAGCCGGGGCTCCATCACCATCCCATCCTCAGTCCTCAGGATAGCAGGGAGCATGGGCCCTGGTGACCCCCAGCGCTGTGGCTTTGTCACCTTCCACCACCATAAGAGGAGGTGGCCGAGGTCTGGGTTCGGCAAGTCCATCAGGGAGGAAGGTGCCGGCCACCGCAGGGCCCGCCGCAGGCCCCGTCCTGAGCGCCACCAGGACTTCTGGGTCTGGGTGTCCGTGACCATCTGTGCGCTGTGGCTGCTCTGCATGTACAAGCTGAACCTCGCTGGCCTGTAGGGGCCCAACACCCCCTCTGGCAGCCCTGCCATGCCCTCTGCAGGCTCACCCTGGCTAAATGTCCCCGGCCCACACCCAGCTTCTGGCGCCCTCTTCCCTGTTTTGTGTCCTTGGTCCCTTTCTTTACATGAGTGATGGTTTTGTGGACGTCCACTGTGAGTGTCTTGTGAACTGTAAACATGTATTAAGCTCAATAAAACAAAACCAAGCTCTGCAGCTGGGGCCAGCCTTGCCTTTCCACCCAGGAGGGGTCAGTGTCCTTGCTATGCGGACACAGGGCTTTGGGGCAGGCCCCTTGCTGGGCTCCTGCCACTCCAGAAAAGATCACCCCTACCTCCCACTTCCTGGGTGATCTGCATTCCATCCAGACTGCAGGGGGAGCCCAGCAAGTGGCGGGGCACCCTGTGCGACCAGCTAGCACAGCAGCCAGGAGATTCTCCTGCTTCTCAGGATCACCTCTGGGTTTCCATTTTGGGAGACTTCAGTTTCCATAGCAAGGGTTGGGGCACATGGGGGTCCCAGCCAGGCAGTGTCCAGCCACCCTGTCCCTCTTCTCCTGGGACCCCAGCTCTGAGACAAGGGTGACCTTTGTTGACTGCCGAGTTTTTGGAAGGGGAACGTTGAGCCCAGGGCTGTGGTCGGGAGCCCAGTGGTCTCCATCCGACGTGGACCCCATAGTTTGCTTGGAGGCCTGGGGAGGTGGCCGAGGGCCTTTGAGATGACCCACCAGGACCCTGAGACACCTGAGCCTGGAAGGTGCCAGCCCCACGAGGCCAGCTGGGTGGCAGCCACCATCCTGGAGATGACAGGTACGGGGCCCTAAGGAAGGACCTGAATATTGCTCCCCCCCCCCTCCCGCCGACTCTGGCCACACCGTGGCAGGGGAAGTTTGGCCTGCCCAAGGGCCAGTCACTTGGCCTGGGGTAGGTCTGGGGGACACTCCTGCCCTCCTTCCACCAGCAGGGGAAGCTTGGACACCCCTTCGGCTGGCCCCTGGGGGTGGGTGATCTCCCTCGGCGCCCAGCCCCGTCTCCTCCTCCCTGCCCCAGCAGGGCCCACCCCACCGTGTGCCCAGTGCCCTGGGACTCGGGAGGCTGGCACAGCAGTCACCTGAGCGCAGGGGCCTTGCCTGAAGTCACTCAGGGCCTCCAGTGCCCTGCACAGCTCACCCCTCTCCCCAGCTAGCCGTGCAGTTCAGCTGGGGCCCCTGCGGTCCCCCGCCAGGATCCCCGCGTGCTGAGCTCCCTTCTGCCCCCGAGGGGTAGGGCGGGGTCTTCCCCCCACGGCCCCCTGTTGCGGGACGGAACTCCAGGGTGGGGCGAGGCTTTGCTGGAACTGCTCTCTGCCCGGCCGCTCTGATTCCTGGGCCCCTGCCTCTCACCCCAAGGCCCTCGGCCCCGTCCCGCTCCTCACCTCCTTGCACACCAGTCCCTCGTCTCCCCAGCAACCTCCGCACCTCCCACCGGCGACGTCCGGCCCGCCAGCCTGAGAGCCCGTCCTCCCTCCCCAAGCCCCGCCCGCCTCCTGCTCCTCTTCTCCCTGCCTCCAGCTCCGCACTCGCCCGGCCGCCCCCCCGGTCCTTTGGCGCCCCCGCGTGGCCGCTGGCGGGACGCCCTTCTGCTCTGCGCGGGCTTCAAGCTCTGTTCACTCAGCCCATTTCCGTGGACCCCGAGTGCCCATCCCCTTGGCATCACCACGTGGCATCGGTTTTCACTGTTAGCTTCCACTCCTGAGCAATCATATTAATCAAATCTCACTAGCAGAAGGGAGAGCAAGCGCAGCCTGCACCGTGTTCTACGGCACGTCAGCTGTTTCCAGCTCTGTGCCCTTCCTGGTCCTTGTGGGGAAGTCAAGGCACAGTCAGAGGCCCCAGTCCTTCCTACCCTGACCAGCGAGGACCGCGTGAGCGCTGAGGGGCCCGATGAGGGCCTCTTACACAGGTGTCACAGGATGGCGCTCATGGGAGGCAGACGCTGGGATGGGGCCCAAGGTTGGGTTCTGTGGAGAAAGGGAGGGGAGGTCGGGGTGGCACGGGCTGGGGGACCCGACCGGGAACCCCGCACCGCTGTCACCTTGCAGGCCCCCCCCCCCCACGTGCACAAGCTCCCTCCATCCTGACAGCCTGGGGTTCTCAACGCTCAGGGCAGGGCTGTGAAGGTGAAACCTCGCAGCTCGACAGAGCCCAAAGGGAAAATGGCCATGAGTTTAAACGTGGAGTTGCTGTGAACCACAGCACGCATCGCATCTGCCGCAGAGGTGGGATGCGGGTTAGCGTGGGCATTTCCAGTTTGTGCCGCCTAATAACTGCCGAAAATGTCCTGCAGGGCAGAGGAGGACAGACATTTTGGGGCCAAGTCGAATCTGCTTAACAGGTCTGTGAGTGCCCCAAGCCGTACTCTGCTGTCTCTGGCAATGCTGTGTGTTTTTCGTTTCAATTTTAGTATGTGTGCTGCCGAAGCGAGCACTGCTGTGTGTTTTTCAAGGCTGCAGCCACATAAACATCTCAGCCCAGAGGATTTAGCTCAGTGGCACTGTGCCAGCCTCTCAAGTGCAAGGTCCTGAGTTTCATCCCTGGTAGCACCAAAAAAAAAACAAAAAAAAAAACATTCAGATTTCAGGGGCCAGGGCTTCAGCTCAATGGTTCCGCCGCCTGCCTCACAAGCGGAAGGTCCCAAGCTCGATCCCCCGTACCAAAAAACAAAACAAAACACAGAAACATCTCAGCCCATGTGTTTAACACGTGAGCATGCAAATGTGGCTCCAGTGATCTATGGGTGGGAGCTTGTGGGTGCACGTTCTGGAGTGGAGCAGGCTGCCAGAGCTGCTGGTGCGGGACAGACCCCGAAGCGAAGCCTTCACAGTTGCGTCCTACAGAGCACCTCCCACCCTGTGTCCTGACCCTGGGGCATCTGTGCACTGTCCTGGAAGCATGCTCTGGTCCACACCCTGCCCGTGACTCCTGTCCTGATGCCTGGGAGCCTACTTTGCTAGCCCTTCCTGTGCACAAAGTCCTCTTGACCAACCTCCTGAGAACATGAGGTTGGAGGTAGAGCAACGAACTAGCTTTAGTTTTGGCAACTTTTTGTCTATTATTATTATTGAATTTAGACTTTTATTCTTCCACTTCGTTCTTGTCTTATAGAATCTATTAAGTGGTTTAAATTACTCAAGATACCTTACTCATTTTCTTTTGTGTTTTTCATCTCTTCTCCTTCTCTTCTGTGTTTTCAGTAAGTTCCATAGTATTACATTCCAATTTGCCAATTAATCCTCTGATTAGGATTGTCAGTGTTGGTTCCAGAGTTTTTTTTTTGTACAGGGGATGGAACTTGGGACCTTGCGCTTGTGAGGCAGGCGGCGGAACCACTGAGCTCAATCCCCGGCCCCAGAGTTTTTAACTGTACAATTAATATACAGAATTTATTTCATCAGAATGTGTTTAGTTTTCATGATTTTTAATTATAATGTCTCATAGCTAGGTAATCTTGATTATCATAATCACCAACTTACTACCGTATCTTATTTCCGTATAAATTTTTAAGAATTCCTTTATCCCTTTGAAGAATTTAAATACACTGTTCATCTTGAGAATACCTAACCGATATTGTTTAATCTTAGTGAATTCAACTACTAACAACTCATTGCTTGCTGTTCTTCTTCTTCATGTCATGTGCATTTATTTTTAATTTGGTACCTTGTTCTGAAGGATTTTGATCATTTCTCCCATATGTTTTCTCTGCCTAGCAGTTTTGTTTCCATCTCTAACCAGCCTTCCATAAATTTTGTACCAGAACTGGGACAGGAAAATGTTCATTGCAATTTAGAAACTGGTAAACTTGATCCAGAGTAACTCAAGACCTAGGCCCCTCACCTCAAGTTCTGAGAAGTCTAAATTCTCACCTTAAATGCATTGATCTATTTTTCACAACATTCCCCACAGTCTCATATACAGGAAAAAGTTATGACCCCTAACCCCATGTTAATATGTATATTCTTTTATAAACGTGAATATTTTAGAATGCAGCAATAAAAACTACAGTAAAACCTTGGTTTGCAAGAGTAATTAGTTCTGCTCATAATTAAAAGCACTTGTATACCAAAGCAGCAGGAGACAGAAAAGCCAGTTGTGATGATGTGACATTTAACTTGACACACTACCTGTATTAGGAGACATTGTTCATTTATCATGTTGAAATTTCTTAGAAATGCTTGCTCATCTGACAGAACACTCGCAGGTCAAGTTTCTCACAATCCGAGACTTGACTGTAATTTCTTCTTGAAACAGTGAATTAAGCAGAATTTCAGATACCAAATTAGAAAGTGAGAAAAATTCAGTAACAAAACTTTCCTTGGGTTCATTATGAATTGGATAAGAGCCTATTATTTTAAATTTTTTTCTATTTTAATGGTACATCCTATTATTTTTTAAGGATCACTAGGAAAACTGGGTGGGTCTTATTCCACTCATGTTGGGAGATTTTTCTTCCACTTTTGGATACAAGCGACCAAGTCCTTATAATTGCTGACATAGTAGTGGACTGAAATACTATTGTCTCTGTGTCTCAAATGCTTCAGTAGTTTTTATAGCAATAATTGCTACCACAAAACCACACTAGAAAATCAAGGACATTGAACTATAGCAACCAAGGTTTTCATAACCACTCCTAACTGGAAGGGAGAGATTAAAATTCTTATCTGTGGGCTGGGGATTTAGCTCAGTGGCACCACCTGCCTCACAAGTGCAAGGTCCTGAGTTCAAATTCCTGTAAAAAAATTCTTATCTGTGTCTGCCATCTGCTGCTTGTGTTATATGAGCCCAGCCTTTTATTCTTGAATTCTTTTCTAAGGATGCTCTAACAAAGTATCAATGTCTGTGTAGATTAAAATAGCAAAAATACATTCTCTGACATTACTGAAACCTAGCTGTTTGAAATCAATATTTCACCAGATTCATGCTTCTTTATGACTCTGGATATATTGGGTATTATCTATTTTTAGCTTTGGGTGACCACCAATCCTTCACAATTATTTGAATGCAGTAGGGTCCACTCATCCTTATTATTGTCATCGTGTGGTGTTTTCTTGTCTTATAAACACAGCAGTTTGATTAGATTGGGGTTTCCCCTCTTAAATGGCCTTTTCTTACATCTTTACATCTATAAAGACCCTATTTTCATCTGGGAATCACTGTCATGCCTGTTATTCATGCACTCTATGATACTGAGGCAGGAGGATCAAGAGTTTGAGTACACTGAGAAACTTAGAGACTCACTGAGAAACTGTCTCAAAATAAAAAAAAATAAGA